AGTGATAATATTGCTTCTTTGCGTTATAGACAAAACAATACTACTAAATAATGCTTCACCTTCAATCACATATCAGTGATTGGCCAGAAGATGTCATCAGGTGATATCCGGTTTTCACTGGGCGTTTCGACCCTTGACCACAATGCTCTACAGTCGGCGGGCCGGCAATGATGGCCAGTCACTGTCCATCCCTCCTACTCCAGAACCAGCAAGAAGCTTATTCTGCTGCCTTCCCCAGCCTGCCTGCCGCCATCTTCCTCTTCCCTCCTGCCCAGGGCTGTGAGCATCTTCCATAACGACTACACGGGGAAGCCCTTGCAGCCCATCTCCACAGGGAACAACCAGGCCTTCCACCCTTTATCCCTGAATTGATGGACCAGATCCTGGTACTTTACAGATTTCCTCACTGAGGCCTCTTCACATCCCTCTTCCCATGGGACGTCAGTTCAATGAGGATTATCTTCTTCACTTCCTCCGACCATAGGAAAATGTCGGGCCTCAGGGATGTTTGAACGACCTGGGGGAACACAAGTTTCCTCCCTTGGTCCACCCTCATGTCCCATGATTGCTCCTCCAGCAGGAGGCCTTTCACCTTCTTCTTTGAGGAAGATGGTTTCTCCCTTTCCCTGATGAACTGGATGGATGTCACTGCTGTCCTGTATGTCTGTCGTTTTAAATACTCTGAAGGAGTAACATTCACTGGAAAGTAAACAATGTGTGTGACCAAACACCACTGTGCACATCAGCACTGCCTCCAGCCCAGGAAGGGGGAGTGGGAGTGTCCCCCTATCTGAGCAGTGACCTTGATGATGGATCAAGCAGGGTAATTATCATTCAGGTGGCTGCCCTCTCGTCATGCCCTGCCCTGGAAGGTCCCTCACCCAGCAGCTCATCTGGATTGAGGGAGTATTCTGGTGTTCTGGTGTAACAGGTCCAAATATGTGACAGAGGTGACGAGAGAACTGGTAAAACAAAGAAGTAGGGTGGTGAACTGGGAAGTTATTTGGTAAAGCAGAGAAGTACTGTAAGATGGCGAACGGAGATGTAAGGTGGTGAACTGAAGAGCTAACTGGTAAAATAGCAACATAAAACAGTAAACAGAAGTAAAATTGTGATCTGGAAGTAAAATGATAAACTGGGACGTGAACAGCTAAAGTAAGATGGCAAAGAGGAAAGATGGTAGAATAGGAAAGCTGGTAAAACAGCAGATGTTAAACTCTGATGTGAACTCAAACAAAGAAGCAAGATGACAAAATGTGGAAGTTAACAATTAAACAAAAAAGTAAACTGGCAACCGTGGACTTTCTTGCCTACCCACACCACAGTGTGCTTTGAGGCCAGGAAGACATATTTACAAAGGCCCGCAGTCCTCGGGGCACCTGCGGCGACATGGCACAGCGTGCTTTGGCCTACTCCCGAGAGCGGAGCTGACAGAGTCCCAGACAGTATGCTGTTTGGGCTCGAAGGCCACGCCAACCGCAAGAGAAGGACAAAAAGCTCCAGACCAGACCATTAAAATAAAATAAACACCAAAAGCCTGAAGTGGCTCTGAGGATAGTTAAAAGGTAGCAGAAGCAGAAGGACATGGTAGAACCAATAAAGCAGGGCCGTGGGAGGCATTAGAACTGAATGTTTTCACTTGCAGACTCACTAAACGAAATCCACTTGATGGGCTTAATCTCCACAGGATCGTCCAAAGAATGCACTAAAACTTAATGAGGGCACTCGGTATCAGTGGCCAGCAGGTGTGTACTGACAGATGCCAGAGATTTAAATTTGAAATCAATTTGCCTAACAACTATCCTGTCTGTCCCACTTGAGCCTTAAATATGATCTGTACTGTCTACTGCTGCTGGACTGGGGAAAGCTTTTCGACCTTATTATTGACTGCACTGACATCTTAACTGGTATTCGAATCATATTTCAAGTGCTTTTACAACGTGTACCCACTTATTTTTAACCCATACTCTCAGTATAGTACCATTACCATAAGCATACGTAATACAGCAGTAGTGTAGCACAGTTACCACAAACATAGAACAGCATTTAAATGGCACTGTTACTCTAGCTTTACTGCAAAATTAGCATAGCAGTGTAGCCAGGTAAATAGTATATTATTTGTATTGCACTGTCACTACAACCAGACATCCCACCTCTTCCAGGCAATGTTTTACCTGTGCAACCTCTGCCAACACGACTGGAAAATTGTACCACCAGCACCTTGCAGTCCAATATGCCTAAGGTGGGATGTCTGCTACAACTAGGGCTGTACCATAATATTAACATAGATCTCGTCTTCCCACGAGAATGGTATAAAGTAGTATAGGTGGTACCTTATATGTGTGTGTTTGTGGTTGTGTGTAATTACGGTGCTGTGCTTGTTTTGTACAGTAGGGTAATGACAGATGGCACATGAAAAGCAAAAGGTAAAAGGCCCCCCCTCCAAAAAATAAAATAAAAATGGTGTACTTTTCAGTGCCTGAAAATGTCGATTTAATGTGAAATGGATGTTTTGGCCGTTACTTAGCAACATCCGTTAGTTCATTCGATAAATTCTACAAAGGACTTGTGAAAATGAATTGCACAGGAAAAACAGCCATAAGCACCTTTAAGATTAAAGTCGCACTGTGCATTAGTTGAATGATAACACATTTACCGCAAAATCCGCAGAATATAAAGGACAGCTGCACATGCTATTTATGATGGTGATGCTCAGCTTGGGTAGCAGACAAAAATTTAAATAATGACATTTAAATGGTTTTGAGTTAAGACAGCGCATCTCTCTGCTGGCTGAGAGAATTTCAAAGCACGTTGCAGACAGTACGAATAGTCACAAAGCTATTTTTGCTCCACTGTTTAGTTATGGCAAAGAAAACATCAACATTTTATATTTTTCATGCTTTTAAGTCGCTCTAAAGAAAAGCATCAACAAAATAGTCACAAAAACACAAAGCATTGATGTACGTCTTTCTGAATAACTCTTAAATTCACTCTATTCACTAAGTAACATCACTTAAAATCGAAAATATAAAACGTACATTCAGCAAGGCAAAACACGAAAAGAAGAACTGGCTTTATAGATTTTCTCTATATTGTAACTTTGGAAAGCTACTTCTAGTTATTACAACGGGAAACGTATTACGGAGACGGCACTGAAATTTTTACGTTCAAACACTGTAGCTAATATTCATTATTTAAATTATTTCATTATTTAAAGTATTTAAACGGGTAAATACTGTAGAAAAATAATTATAGCTAAACTAAAGAGTAAACTCTGAAGCAGAGAACTAAGACGTGGTAAAAAGAAGTAACTATAGCTAAAAGAAAAGCAAACCGGTAAACAGAGAACTAAGATAGTAAACAGTGAAGTTAATGGCTAAGCAGAGAAAACGGCAAACAGACAAGTTACCAGGCAAAGACGATCGTGAACAGATAAATTAGTCATTAAACAGAAAAATGAGATACAAACAAGCACCCGGGAAACAGAAATTATTTAGTAAAGGATGAAACATTGTCAGTTTCTAAAGAAATCGGTATTATATATTTGAAAAAAAAAACTTTGGCATTACCTTTTTTAGTTTTATGTGAAAATAAAGAAAAACGTTTTAGTTTTTTTTATTGTTTTTTGTCGCTGGACCAGTATTGCGGCAAACTTTTACTACTTTCTATAAACGATCCCCTTTGATCTGTCAAGGAACTATGAGAATGAGCGATGTGAGAAAAATTCATATATTACTGACTGAAAGCTGCGTCCATTGCACAGACTCGGAGAGACAGGATCTCCTGTAGTAAGCTGAACATTGCCACCCACCGTCCGCTTCCACTCACGCGGAGCCTTTAGTTTTACAGTACTTCAACATGAAGACAAATATGTAAATTATGTACGAGTTTTCCTATAACGGAAAGCGGCTTTGCTTGAACTTACACTCGCCATTACAGCTTCTTTTAACTCTTTATTTTAAGTTTACAAATTAAAAGCGAAACAATGAGACTCAGTTTACAGGGCATTTTAACACAAATGCTGACTGGCAAATATTTTGGCAGATTTTCTGCGTTCGCAATAACAAAACAGCACAAGAGGCTCTCTTACGACGAATACACTCAAGGGTTTGGATCAGTCAAACGGTGTTTTAATGAGCTCCCTTGGAATGTGATTTTTACGCCGTATGCAAATATGCACGCCGGCCTGCTCGCTCCCCTTCCCCGGCTCTCTCTCTTTTTCCCACACCCTGGTGCCTCAGGAAAGCGTGGACAAAACAAGACTTTGATCCTAACGCTAGGAAGCAGGCATTCTGAGTACGTTGTGTTTTGGTGCTGGTGGACCATCATGGTTAATAGAATATTGCTGGTGGACCAGCTTCATGTAGACCAACACAGCACTGCTGGTTCACCAGCTACACCTGCACCAACCCAGCAGTAACCAGCATGAACCAGTATCGAAGTCATAATGCTGTATGCTATTTTTTTCAGCAGGGATTTGAAACCATATATTTCCACCGTCGTTATTCATTCAATGCCTGAATGCAATCACGCATGGAAACATTGTGTCTGGACTGTTATGTGATTATTATATATATTAAATTGCTTTTTTGGGGGGGATAGGATTAAAATAGGTAAACAGTTCCTCTCAATGTTGGAATACATAAACCAGCATCACACCAAAGCATATTAAATTAGAGTCCTCAATTTGGCTTATTTGACGCAATTACAGCTGTAATCAGACCACGGACCGGCACCAGAGGACCTGGGATTAAATTAGCCCAATGGCTATAGATGAGAGGAGCATCTCCAGAAGTGTATTTGCACACTCCGTACCGCCTGCTCATCGCAGATAGCGGGAAGAATTCCCAGAATGCTGTGCGAATTTATCTATTAGATATTTTGTGTCTTCATTATCTAAAGCAACTCATATATTGTTCACGTTTTTTTTTTTGGGCTCCTTATGGCAGATACCAAGCAGCACTATGAATTACCCATCTGTAATGTGACTGTGATCTTACCCTAGGAGAGATTTAAGTAGGCCATCTCTGATATGGTGGTAGGCTGCCTTTGAAAATGAATCTGGATGAAGTTTCCCATAAAATATGGTGTCAGCAATGAAAAAGCATTTGAGTTGCCACTCTGCTGACATCCTTTGGGATATCAAGGTCTTTTTTCATCCGTTTCGTCAGTCATCAATGTCGACAATCTTTTCTTTCTGCATTTGAAAACACAAGAAACATTTTTAGGCAGGGATAGAATGACTCACTGCTTGCATTTATTAACACAGAACCTGATTTTCACTCTAGCAAATTAGTAATGAGAGAAATGAGGATTTAAATCCCAGCGTGGGTGGGTTATTGCTTGGGTTAACCCAGTGGATTCTGAAAAAGTAACTAAGCAGGAAACATTAAACAGCCTGGTGATAGCAAAATGAAATGGAATTAATAGAATTGTCCCAGCTGTAGATAACTAACACATTGTTTTTTAATTAAGTGAGCCTTACATAGACTTCAGATTGGCTTTATAATCTTGCATTGCCATAAGCAAAACTTGAGTCTGGATGCAACTATAACTATAACTAATTGCAGGTTTACAATTGTGTTGCTCTTAAAATGCATGTTTTTAGTATATGAGCTTTTAATCACCATCTACACTGCAAACAAGGCAAATTAATTTAATGCACTTTGCAGAAAACACCTCCACTTTCTTTCTTGTTTCACAAGAAGTTGCAGACAATAAGCCTCTCCAGCTGATTCTGATAAACTACTTGCAAGTACCTATAATTGAACTGTACGTACATTTAAGTGGTACAATGTACCTCATAAGACATAAAGGTGATATATATATATAAGTCTGCCTGATACTATTGCATATGGCCGGCGCTCTCTGTTGTTGTCATGTTCAGACCCCAGTAACAGGAATCATTTATTACATATTAGACTCCTACAAATTGAAATTGCATCATCATTTCCCCAGCAGGTGAACCCCAGGAGGTGACAAGGCCCAGGCCACCCCCACACCTCCTCACTTCGATATTTCACAGTAGCGATTCCCCTCATTCGTTCCAGCCCACGCCACGGTATCAATCCTGTCTCTGTCGAGCCGATTCCTGTCTGGAAAGCTAGCGTGGAGCAAACGTTTTCCCACGGTGGGTGGGTGTCACGCTGAATTTAAGTGATCGAGCCTTGACACCAGGCTGCATGGGGTGGGGGGGGGGGGGCTGACATTTTGAGGGCTATTTTTGGTGACTCTGAAGCATACTGTTCCTGGAGCAGTAAGCATCTGTTTTTTGCCAAAATGAACGGTGGTGAGGTAAACCTTCTCTTTGCCCAAGATCAGTTTGGTTTTGTGTCTGTCCCTGGTGACATTTGAAACCTCCACCCTACTGTCTTGCTGTCATTTTTAGAAAATGCTTCAGATGTGGCAACATGCTGTGCCAGTTCTAATGTTAGATTGATTGCAGGTTTACAGTAGCATCATACACACATTAAGACAATAAAAAGACATTTAAACATCAATAGAGAGTTACAATAAATAACAGACAACAAGAATGTCAGAGACAGTTTTGCACAGAATTCCGCAGTAATAGTTCAGAAACAGTATTGCACAGTTAACCAATTTCGGTGTTTTTTCCCCCCACATACACAGATCTAAAACATCCTGTCAACACTGGAAATGCAGCCCAGTCCAGCTCAAGCCAGAGCAGTGATGATGGGGCAAGTCAGAGCAAGAGAATAATGAGGAAAAGATAATGATGAACCCTCACCTCAGTCTCCAAGGGGGTCGGGAGGAAAATGTGCAGGAATGATCCCATGGGATGGCTAATTATGAAGAACAATGGGGAAGATGCAGAGCAGCAAATCTATAAATAAAACCCTGTAGGTACCAGCGGGTCGTGGGCCGCACAGCCGACGCTGATGATTCATCCAGCACTGCCAGTTGCTGACCTGTTTGATAGTCAAGGTGCCTCAATGTCTGGAGACAAGTACAGTTGTGACAAATTTCCCAGCCAAGTAAATCATTATAATCATACATAAATCGTGCACAGTTACATGCACGTAGACTAAGACCTAGATATGAAGTCTTTGATACATGCAATGATAAGACAGACATTCACGGATATTCTGCTCCTCTTCAGTTCTTAGATTAAATTAACTTTATTGATCCCAGAGGGAAATTCTTGAAGGGTTTCTGCAGGGTTTCGGTGACTTTTGACAGGTCTGGTGAATTTACTCATTTGAATGATAAGCCTAATGACAGTACCTACAAACTACTTGAAACTAGTACTTGTAACTAGCATACATGTGAACCAAGAGATGGGTGATAAAGTCAAATTTGGTGAAAACAGTGAGCCAAAATAGGTGGGGTTTTCTTAAACTTGCAGAGTGGACCACGTTTAACTCAGTTTTAGGGTGAACAGAGTGAGATGAGTGTAACATAAAAATAAATTGATTGACTCAATTGAATATATAAACTATTTGCTTTTCAGACAAATCAAAAATCCTAGAAAGCCAACTGAGATGTTTAGAGCACTGTCAACGTGTGTTCTAAGATTATTGGTCTGCCCTTGAGATCCTTATCACACATCTGTGACCAGCAGACACACAGGCTAGCACTCAAAATCATTAAAGACCCATCACACCCGCTGAACACTGCCTTTGAGTGGCTCCCCTCCAAACGCCGGCTCCGTTGTCCTTTGTTCCTAAAGCTGTCCTTCTTTTGAACTCC